AGTCAAATTGCCTACTTTTCCTCCAGTTCTTTGCTCACCAAACACCATTCTGATTATAATTTGACTTTCTTTCTGGAGTTGCCGACGGGAAGAGCATAAGCTGGTACTCAGAATTTGAACACGGATGAATAGATTGGCATCTGGTTTTATATATCAGGCTAGTAAATTTGTTTGATGTTCATCCGCCCTTTTGAAATGGATACTGTCTTGGTGTGCTGACAAAATTAAGTGTCCATGTCTGCAAACCTGAGGACCATTGTAAAAGTGACCCACCTGCCGGCTGCTTTTCCCGACAAAGCACCACATTGTGGCTGTGATGAGATGACTGTTTCCCCCTCAATTCTGTTCTTCACTTAATAGTCTTTCATATGCATTTCTGTGTATGTTGCAATATAGTCTCTAGATCTGTTATTAACTATAAGGTATTACATCTAGTTATATTACTGTCTAACCATCCGTCCGTTGTTGAATATTGAGGCTGTTTTCAGTGTTTCATCTGATAAATGATTCTGCTATCTTCCTACAAATGGAATTTTCTTCTTCTGCACTTTTTCTTTAGAAGTTCTCAAAATGGGATTCTTGGGTCCAAGGGTTTGCCACACTGAACCTATTTCCCTTATCACCAGTGATGTGGATTTATGTATTTTTTCTTTATAGTCATGCTACTTTGGTTTCTATTATTAAAATACTTGATGAATGAATTCCGTCAAACACATAAGGAAGAAATAAGACCAATCCTACAGAAACTCTTTCAGAAAATATAGGATGAAGAAACTTTCTCAAATCATTTTATGAGGCCACCCTACCGTGATACCAAAACTAGATGAGGGCATTTCAGGAAAAGAAAATGACAGATGGATATCCCTCATGAATGTAGGTGCAAAAATCCTTAAAAAATTATTATCAAATCAAATCTGGCAGTATAATGTACCATAAAAAGAGTGATATACTGCTATTTCTTGATTTATCAATTTTTAGGCATTATCTATAGACTTCCTATTATGACAGAGGAGGATTTAGCTCTCTTACACCATTATTCCCTCAGTGTCCCCTTTCTACTTCCCCCAAACAGTTACAATAACATTTTATTAATTCAGTGTTCCATGTCCCCATTATTACACCTATGTGAACATTACCTACAGCTGAGCATTCTACCATACCAGGGTTTCCTTTTATACTTTTCCTACAAGCTAATATTTGCCATGCTTTCTAGATTTGCTTGATAGTCTTTAACCCTATTCCTAACTTTCCCCACTCTTTTTTAATTGGTTAAAAAGATGGTACAGTCATGCAGAAATCTAGACCACAGACATTTCTAATGACACTCCTTCCTCCAGTCCTCACTCTTCCTTGGAGCCAAACAGTTGGGAAACTTTTATGTTCCTGAGGGTGAAACAAAATCCCAAAGCAGGCAGGAAAAATGCCATAAGGTCACACTGGTGAAGGACTCAGGAGTACACTCCCCCTCCACCTCTTCCCACTAGCGGAAGAGGGGTTCCATTCCAACCTCCTAGAAGGAGTGCCACTGCTGAGCCGAGCGACAGCCCGTCGGGCTCCAGAGGAACAACTGTGGCTCTCAGTGAGGCAACTGAACTGAAGACCCCAAGGAAGACCACCTGACTACCCGGGGAATGAAAGCATGGCTTCCTGAGCCCCTCCCACCTTGGTTTGGGACAGAAAATAAAGGGAGTGTCCTGGTTCAGTTTCCTTATGCCTTGCCTGGACTCCCATCTCTAGGTCTGGGGAGCCGACGTCTTCAGGAGTAAGAGGCCCAGACTGGATCCTGTCCAGCTCCCCATGAGCATGTTTACTAGGAAGAGGAAATGGAAATATAGTTTGTCTTAAGTTCAACGTCCTGATCTCATGGTGGAGGAGAAGAACCAGGCCCAGGAGGAGAAAAGCTCTGACACCTTCCTCCCTCACAGGTTAAGGTTGAGCTTACACGTGGTTCCTCTGAAGGGACAGCTTGTCTTTGAGCTAGAATCCCAATGGGACTCTTGAAGACAGTAAAGAATGAGAGAGAATGGGCCCCTTACCTTCGTCGCTGTTCAGTCCTTCCCCACTCTGCCCCAGAGCTCAGCCATGACCAACATTACCACCAATGTGGAAACGGCTCACCCTCAGTCTCTTGCTGAATCCCCTCCAGTTTCTAACCTCTAAATGTTTCAGGGCCTAGGGACTTGGGCCTTTTCTTCTTTTTCTGTCTTCAGTATTTAAGTGGCTTCATCCAGTCCTAGGATCTGAATACTGTCAATATACCTAGGCTTCCCAAATTCATGTCTCCAGCCGGACCTTCCTTCTGAATTCAGAACTGCCTACCCAGAGTCTGCCCTTGGATGTCCAGTAAGCATCTCAACTTGTCCGCCCTCCCCTTCCCCAAACCTTCTCCTCCCCTAGCATTCTTCTCAGTGAAAGGCACCCCCTGAACCAGCTACTCAAGCGAAAACTTTAGTTTCAATTCTTGATTCCTCTCTGTCTCTCACTTCCAATCTCTCAGAAAATCCTGAAGACTGTATTTTTAAAATATAGCCCAAATCTGGTCACTTCTCACCATCTTAACCACCACTTCAGACGTTGTCTTCAGCAGATAAGCGTTCTGGATCACCCTATATAAGATGCACCCCTTCCAGCCCAGCATCCTCTGGACATATGTGTATCTCCGATTCCAGTCCAACACCACAGAATAGATTCTATTTTTCTCCCGTTCCATATTTGTGTCTCCCTTCCCCAACAGTGAAAAACCTGGCTCCTACTGTCATCAGCGAAAAAGGATCTTAGACAGAGTCTGAGGCCCCGGCATTTCAGAAGAGAAACGGGGTGATGAAGAAGTGAAGTGAGGAGCCAACCCCTGGCGACACTAGGTGGTTTGTGCGGAGTTTTTACGTTTGAGCATTGTGTAAGGATGTGCTCAGCCTTAGAGGAGCATTAGTGATATGCTATTATAATTTACGCCTCAAGGCTCCTTTTGCATGATTTCTTTGGGAAATGTTCTTAGAGACTAAAGTTGCCTGGCACTGATAACCTTATATTTGTACTTAATTCATTAAATAATCAAAATAGATTCCATTTTTCTGGGCAAAATGCGGAGTCTGGGGGAAAGCATTTCCCTTGACATACCCTCTTCTTCGTTGTATTTTTCTAGGCCTTCTTTCTAGACAGGTGAGTTTTTCCAGCATCTGTGCCTATATGCCACTAGAACAAGGAAGAGAATTTGGAAAGAAGCTTCTTCAACCCCAGGGACTTAGTTCTGCTCCAGAAATGTTCCAGCTCTTCTTCCCGGAAGTGGCCTCTCTGTTTCCTCCACATTGTCCTGTCCTCTGTCCAAGCGTCCTCTGATCTGCTCGAAAGGATTTCCTGAACATCTGGTCTGTGATAGCAGTGGCCTTGTAGCTCCTCCCAGAGGCTGGAAGTGACTTTTTGGTCACGTTAACACAACTACTCAAGCATTTCCTCCCCGGTTTACTCATTAGTTCAGGCTGAGGACAGCAAGGCTGTTTAATGTTTATCACAGAAGCACCAAGTCCAGCTGGTGGGTGGGGTCTCTGGAAATAAATGTACTCTGTCTGTATCCATTTCACTCAGTGCCTAATATATATATTTTTAAATGCCCCAGAGGAGGTGTCTTTTCCTAATTTGCACAAAAGACCTGCTGGGGCTCCTGGTTGCTCTAGTTGTATAAGCTGAGAGTCAGAAAACAAGTGCTGGGAGCAGTGGCCTCAAGTGTAGACACTGATAGAGGAGGACAGGCCAGAAAGACGTGTGCAGGATGCAGCTGGCTCCCAGAGAGGAGAGCGTAGGGAGAGAACCAAGATACCTACGTGAGTTTTTAATTATTATTAACTTGTGTGACATGGTGTGCAATGTAAACCTCTTCCTTTTCTGCAGTAAAATCTTCATTACCTTAAAAAAAGAAAAAAGGCTGCTGGGGGGGTCTGAAGAAACCATGTGGCCTCACATGGAAGATGCATTCTGCTTAAGGTCATCAGTTTGGAGCAACTTGAAAAAATAAACAGCATCTTTTATACTGTATTTTCACTAACTTTCCAGCAACAAATAGCTCCTTATAGAAATGGAGCTTCACTTACCAGGCGGGTTCCCAGGGGTGTCCCAGATGTTGGAGGTGGCTGGTCATGAATACTTGTTGGAATCCCTGTGGGTCTTTATGGTCCCTCCCTGTAGAGATGGATGTCTGCACTGCTGTGACCTTGCCGTCTCTAAAATCCAGCAGTGTGCCGATCACGTGTTCTTTATACTTTGGACCTGTGGACGCTTTGCTCCGTGAGTTAGATGACTCTGTGTGTCACCTAGGATCTTTCGCTACTTAAGCCTGTCTTGGTTTACTTGTTTTTTTTTCAGCTGAATTCCATGGCTACGCTAAAGAACGTGTTTGTGCTGCTGCTTTATTTTCATTAGGGTTCCAGAACATCTTGTGAAGAGCGTTACTTGGCAGACGCTGCAAGCTGTAAATTTTTGCCATAAACACAATGTAAGTCTCATGATCTCCCTTGAAAAACCAGAAGGCTGCCCTTAAGCTGAGGTGCAGCCTTTGTGCAAAGTTTATATCATATTTTTGTGAATATATTTTTTCACCCAAATCTTCCCAAGCCTGGTTGGGGTAAATAGCGACTAAAAATGCCAACCTAGTGATTCCTTCTTGTTCAGGTTACATAAAAGGTGCATTTTTATGATTTTAAGAAAGTAGTTGTATATTGATACTGATTAGAAACCACTCAGATTTAAGGTAGAATCCCATCTGCCTGGAGTCTGTATTGGTCTGACACTCAAAAGGCCCTGAAATTGGGGAGGGGCCCCAGGTGACTCCTGCCTGTGCAGCTGCAGCAGGTGGACCTCCAAGCACGATGCATGAGGGCTAGTGTCTGCTCTGGAGAGCTATGAGGGCCGCATCTGGATTGGAGCTTCCCGGGGGAACCTCGGACATCCCGGGCCAAAGCCAGACCTGGCAGGAGGCATGGTGGACGCTGCCCCGTGGCATGACTTCCCAGGTGCTGGGAAGCTGCGGCTCCCTCCAGAACCACACTGCCCACTCCCTGCACACAGGAGCCAGATTCCAGTGTCACAGCTTCATTTTGGCCACAGAGGCAATTTGACTGTAATATGTAATGGACCCCTGACTGCCGGGGTCCATTTAGCTGGGGAGGTTGAATCCCCTCCCTGTGTGGTTCTAAATGACTTTTCCTGAAGCTGCCTTCCCAGAAGAGAAAATGTGAGAGTAGTCAGCACTTCTCCCTACTGAGCCTCCACTTGGCTGAGGGCCATAATCCTTGTCAAAATGCATGTATAACAGGCAGTGTAGACACCTTGTATTGCTACTTACACTCTCCTGAGAGCAGGTTTTAGGATGGGGGAGCAAGAGAGACCACATGCAGGCCCTGGTGGGGGCAAGTGGAATGCATACCCCAGTCCCTGGAGAGCCCGGAAGCTCTGTTTGGTCACATGCGCTGGTGGGGGAGTGGGGAGAGACTCAGTAAAGAGTTCCCAGAACAGAATAGGAGTGCGTTCTTGCTTACAAGCCCTCTGACCGTCTGTCATCGTGATGCTCACGGGTGGACCCATTTATAGTAACATGTGAAGTCAGTGGTAACAGAGTAGAGATCTCAGGGCTGTTAATGGCTGAGAATCAGAAAGATTGTAATAAAATAATTCAGAAATTGTCTCCCTTCAATTTTTCCAAGATAGTAAATACCCGTGGGGAAACGCTGACCCTGATCTCCCCCACTGAAGGTCCTTTGGAGTGAGAACTAGGCCAGGCCCAAGAAGAATCTCTGTCCTCGCTCCAAATTCTATCAAGTTAGGAATACCCTAGGGTTTCAGCTGCACGCCAAGAGGATCTCTCAGATGCAGAGGATCCAGTATCTTCTCCAGAGAGGAAAACGCTTGGAAAATGGGAAGATCATTGGGAACCTTGAACAGTGTTTTGACCCAACTGTTGTTGTTATGTCATTGTTAATTAGGTTGTTGATTTCTTCTTTGCCAAGAAAATTATTTCACAAGAAAACCATGTGGGGGCTGGCCCGGTGGCGTAGTGGTTAAGTTCGTGTGCTCTGCTTCGGCCGCCCGGGGTTCGCAGGTTGGGATCCCCCAGCAAGGACCTACTCACTACTCATCAAGCCATGCTGTGGTGGCATCCCACATGCAAAATAGAGGAAGATGAGCATAGATGTTAGCCCAGGGCCAATCTTCCTCAGCAAAAAGAGGAAGATTGGCAACGGATATTAGTTCAGGGCTGATTTTCCTCACAAAGAAAAACCTATGTGAAGATCCTTAGATGTTGTTCTGACATCACCCTGTTAGACAATGTCAGTGTGGTTTGGAAACCACAGGTGATTTGAGTCTAAACTATGGAGCAAGGGCTGCATCCCAGGGGGCGGGGATGGATGCAGCGCTGAGAACACTTGACGTGTGTGGGACACAGCTGACACCTAGCGACTCTCCCCAGAGGCTGAGAGCTGCCTGCTCTGTTTATCTTGTCAGGACGAATGTCAGAGCTGTGGTTCCGCCCTTCTCTTCCTCAGCTTATCTCAGCAGGCCCAGGGCTTGTCCTGTTTACAGGCTGATTGTGTTCTGTTCTCAGTTCAACGGCTGAATCGTGAACTCTGCTTATGCACCAACTTGCAGCTCCTGCAGCCACCGTGCAGGCCTCACCCAGAACCTTTTAAGGCTCCCCTTCACCTGGGGCTGCAGATTCAATACAGGACACCCAGTTAAATGTGAATTTCAGATAAACAGTCATAACCTTTTAGTATATGTCCCCCAAATTATTTATTGTTTATCTAAAATTCACATTTAACTGGGTGTCCTCTATTTTTGGGTGTCATTTTTTTTTTTTTTTTTTTGCTAAATCTGGCTACCCTGCTTTCATTTTTCCTTTCACCCTTCTTGGTCCTTTTGGGACCTTCAGGAATTTGGGGTGATTCAGGCTATGATAGGTATAGTACTGGAGTTATTTTAGGCTGCTATTTTGCAGCCTTTTATCCAAAAGGCCAGTGAAGAGTTGAAAGAATTTTTCAAATATTTGCTAAATATTCACACATTTTATTTACCCCGTATATTATAGTTGCCCCTTAGTAATCCAGTTTTGTTTTGCTCTTTGTGACTAGTGCATTCATAGAGATGTGAAGCCAGAAAATATCCTCATCACGAAACAGTCGGTGATCAAGCTTTGTGACTTTGGATTTGCTCGGCTCTTGAGTGAGTACTCAAGTTTTCCTTAGTTACGTATAAAAGACGGAAACATTCTTTATATGATAAGGGATCTCAATGCTATAGAAAGCTAGTTCTTGTATATTTAGGGCATAAGCTTGCCATAAATCACACTTCTGTAATTACTGAAAACATGTAGACACATACAGTGGTTTCAAAATGTATGCCATACGTAAATCACACCACAGCAAAGTGGTTATTAAAAAAAATGTTACTCTCCTGGTTTCTACCATTTTTTGCTAAAATAGTACTTTTCAGAAGTACTATTTGACTGCAGATTAGAATCATCTTGGGAGCTGTAAACTATAACTGTAAAAGTTACAGTGACACCTCCAGGCCCTCCCCCAGGGTTTCTGGCTTAATTGGACTGAGGTGGGGTCTGAACGTCAGCAATTTTAACAATACTCTGTTCCAAGTGAGTTTAGTGTGTAGCTAGCATTGAGAGCCACTAATTTAGAAAAGCCACAGGATGGGGCGCAGCTTAATCTCTCATGTCTCCCCTCCATTTTGATGGTGGGCTTCCCTGCTCTCTGTTTTCCCTGTCCATCACTGGCCAGCTGGACCGAGTGACTACTACACAGACTACGTGGCCACCAGGTGGTACCGCTCCCCGGAGCTGTTGGTGGGGGACACGCAGTACGGCCCCCCGGTAGATGTTTGGGCAATTGGCTGTGTCTTTGCTGAGCTGCTGTCAGGGGTGCCTCTGTGGCCAGGAAAATCCGACGTGGATCAGCTCTATCTGATTAGGAAAACCTTGGGTAAGTGGTGTTGTCGCCCCACCCTTTGGGATTGTGGATGGTTGACCATGTCAGTGCAGGTCAGAGCCATCTTCCTAGTCTCACCTCATGCCCTTATAATTACGAAAGACGGAGACCCTTGAAGCCTCGTTCAAATGACTCCACAAAAGGTGTCCACATTTGTCTTAATAAAAAGAGTCAGCAACTCTGAGTACATACTAATTGTCCCAAAAGACACAGATTCTCTCTTTAGCACGGTTTAGATCACGTTCAACTCTGAGTAATGCTCATGGCAGCAGTAACAACTTACGTTTCTATGAGGGCTTCGCGGTTTACAGAATCTGGTGAGTTTTCTTTCATTTTCTATGATGTAGTAGTTCGTTCTTTGGCTGTCCTTGACTCCAGCCTGCAGGCTAGTGTGGTTATTCAGACACTATAAAGGAAGGTTCTCTGCCTTCTGAGTGTCAGGAAGAAAGGCTGGTTCTCCTGAGGTCCCTCTTCTTGTCTTGCTTTACCACCCCAAAGCCCTTCCCTTTCTCTGTCCTCGTGGGGAGGGGAGTGGGGGAGGGGAGGAGAGAGGTGAGAGGGGCAGATGGAAAGGTCTGAGCAGTGAGTGTCCTCCTCGCGAGTCTGGGGTGGAGGCACTACTCCCCTGAGTATCCCCAGGTGAAGCCCCCTCTCCTCCTCTGAACTGTGTGGCACCTGCCTCTCCGTGTTTACCTGTCCTTGTACTTCTATCCTCCAAAGATGCTGTAAGCTCCCTGAGGGTGAGATCGTGTCTTGTACTTCTGTTTATCCTCCATCTACATCTGCGCACAGCAGGCAGTAAATATTTGCTGATGGCTTTTTGCAGTGACGTGTAAGGCACCTTGGGGTTCTTCTGGGGTGCTCCGCCCCCTCTGTGGCTTTTCCCCGGTGATTTCAGGGCTCCCTCTTCGTGTCCCCTCCAGCTCTCTGATGGAAGAAGGTTATTGAAGTCCAGGCAGTGTGCTCATGATGAAGCCCACTGAGATCTGGGGCAGGGCATCAGAGAGTGTGTTTGGCTGCTCATCCAAAATGGGGCGGGAGGGACAGCCGCTTTTGGATTTGAGCAAGAGAGAAAGTTCTGAGACAAATGGGTAAACTTGGACAACTTGATGCTCCCTGGGGCGGGAACTCCAGCCCAGGCCAGTGCAGCATTCCCGGGGCCTGATTAGGGGTTTGGTTTTCACTCAGCTCTGGGGAGGGGGCCTGCGGGTACCCCGGGGTGCCCTTCTGAGAATCTCCTGATATTGTCTGAGCAGAATTTCTCTTCAAGTGTAATAGCCCGAGAATTCTACACGAGGAGGATTTTAGCTGCTTTGGCTGAAATGTGGGCAGGGTGAGCCTCACATAATCCAGCAGAATGTAGGAACGCTCATTTTGTTTCATTGCTTCACATCGTAAGTGCTTCTCAACAGAAGATAAAATGGGATTTCCGAGGGATTGCTACTTGGTGAAACAAGAAAATGTGGTTCCAATTTGGAAACGTATTCCTTCCAGCTAGAAGATCTTCCATAATTTGTTTCCTTCCTTCCCTCCCTCCCTCCCTCCCTCCCTCCATCCCCTTCCTCCCTCCCTCCCTCCCTCCTCCATCCTTTCCTCCCTCCCTCCCTTGAATGTCTGGAGGGCTTGCTGTGTGTCAGCACTGTCCTAAGTGCCAGGCCAGTGCACTTCTATCTCCAGCTGTCAGGATTCAGCTACCCTGATTTTGGTTTGTAGTTGTTGCACTTCTGCTATTTAAAAAAAAGTGTTATGTGATTTGTGTGTGTGCTGCTGGTTGTCTGGTTTGGATTCCTCAACAACCTTGTGAGCCCTTGAGGGGCAAGAGCCTTGCAACCTCTGGTTCCCGTGCATGCTCCTCGGGGCCTAACGTGGGCTCCTCCCCTGTCGGCCCAGCACAGGTTGTTGAGGGTTGCTCCAGTACCCCACCCTCCGACTGGAAGAGCCCACTGCAGCCTTCACAGGGCTGGGCGCAGACTGCCCCGGCACCGATGGAGGGAAACACGGGTCAGTGTTTGCTAACCCATCTCATCTTACTTCCCCCTTTCTTCTTGTGCAAAGGTGATCTCATTCCCAGGCACCAGCAAGTGTTTAGCACGAATCAGTACTTCAGTGGGCTGAAAATTCCAGACCCTGAAGATATGGTGAGTGACCCGTTTTGGAAAGAGCTCTGCATGTCAGGGCTCAGGTTTCCAGGCTGTTTAAGTGGTTTTCTGTTTATGCGGGGAGGTGCAGGCTAGCCTGGTTTGGGTAGTTTGTCACCTGCCTGAGCCCCTTGGCCCACTCCGCACTGGAAGGTCAGTCTAAGAGTGAACAGGAAAATGGGGCAAATTGGCTGGCAAGACCCTGGCCTGCAGTGCTACTTTAGAGGCTGCTGAGAGCAGAGATCAACCAGTGCACTGGACAGGAGGGCAGAGCTGCTGGCCTGTCTCACCTGTCCGTCATTCTCAGCAGCTGAAGCGAGGCAGCTCAGAGCCAATGAGCTTTGGGACTATGGCTCATCCAGGACAGTCCAGCTTTGTCTAGATCCCTGACTCTACTTCGCTCTCCCTGCCCGGGCCATGGGGGAAGCGGTGGTGAACTTGGCCAGCCTCACTCTGGTGCCTGTCCTCTATGGCCAATGCGGGGAAAACACTCACTTAAAAAAAATTGAAAAGTTAAAAATGTGCATACTCAACCCATTTTCAAGAATTTACTCCAATGAAACCATTAGACAAGGGCATAAAGATGGGGCATTCTTTAATAGAAATCATTTCCTTTAGTGTTCCATCAGTAGGTGATTAATTAATTAATCAAATAATTAAATAAGTTAAATAAGGTACTTCTATATCCTTACAATATAAGTACCACATAGCCACTAAAAATAATTAGATTTAGTATGTATTCATCTGAAAAAAAGTCCACAACGTATTGCTAAACGAAAAAAAGGTTATACAACAGTATATATAATTTGACATAATTTTAATAAATATTTAATAAATACACAATACATATATTTACATATGTAAAGATAAAATAGTATGACAACCTCAGGAAAATCATGCGAAGCTTTTTACATCTGTGAAGTAAATGGCTCTAAGGATTTATACAAAAATATTAAGCAGTGGATATCTCTGTGGTGGGGTGATCTTTTTCTTTATGGTTTTTTATATTTTTGAATGTCTGCTAATGATCCTGTATTATAATCAAAAACATTTCAGAGCACAGTTATGGTCTGTGAAATCCTGAGATTCCGCTGTCTGAGGAAGGTACTTTCAAATTGAAACTAACCCTCTGGTCGGTCAGCTTCCAGAGGGAAGTTCCGTCAGGTTCCATCTGAGCTGTCTGTCCCCTCAGCCTCTCAGCTTGTCCCACGGTGAAGGCTTCCACCTTCCGTCTCCCCCTCGTGGCCCCTCCTGCATTGCTGGCAATAGGAAAGGTGGGTCGTGCTCAGAGCATGCTGGGTTGGAAAGGCAGGAATGACGCCTGGCATATGGGAGGTGACCCAGCTGGCTCCCTTGTGACCTGGACATTCCCACTTCCACACTGAGTATCCCTTAGCGATTTCCCGTTCGCTTGTCGACCAGTGAAGCCTCAGAAACAGCCTGGATTTCAGAAGTGTGAACAGCTCCCCACGGCGTCCCAGACGTTGTCCTGCAGGGGATTTCCTGTTGACAGGAACACAGGAGGCAGTGGTGCGGGGCTGCGCCCTTGAACATCTGTGCCGTGGTCAGGAGCCCAGTGCAGGGAGGCCGCTGCTCTGGGGCCGGGAAACCGGCCCAGCAGGCAGGATGGGCTGACACATCGCAGCCAACCAGCAGCCTCATCGCAGGCCTCGTCGCTGAGACAGCAGAGCTCCGGGTTGGCGATGTCAGGGCGGTTCTGGTGGTACTCGGGCTCATCACAGAAATAGCAGGAGAAATATTCAAGCTACAGGGAAAAAAGGCTATGCTCAAGGGCTAATACAAACCTGCTTCAGGATTGTTTTTTCCTGTTGATCTTAGAGAACTCCAAAACTGCTGCTCTTATCTCTGACTCTTATCAGTGATTAATAAGTGCACACTTGGGAACTGGTTTTGGCTGGTTCCTTGTCCAAAATACCACTGCACCCTTACGCTTGACCGCAGGCATTGTGTTTCGGTAGATGAGCCTGGCTAGCCGCTCCAGCCTCCCCTCACACACTGCCGTCTGCATACACACGTACTCCTGCCATGTGTTTTGCTCAGCCTGGCTGGCCCTCACGTCCTCAGCTCCCTGCTGCGTTGGCCTCTTTGTCAGCTGTGTCTTTAACTGGCCTGCTGTCTGCCTGACATGCGATGTTCCTCCCTCTTTATAGTGTTCGTTATTCCTGATTGCCTCCAGCATGTGACTACAGCAAAATAGCCTTATATGGCCAAAGGGAGACTCTCGCAACAGTGGGATGATCAGGGAAACAGCAGGCTCTTGTGGGAGGAGACAACAGTGTTTATTCCAGGACACCGAGAAGCATCTGTTCACCTGAGTAGGAAAAGAAATCTACTTTGAAGCTTCCTTTATGTAAATGCCAATAAATGCAGAAATTAGGGCCCCTTTATATAAATGCCAATATAGATGCCAAAAATTATTCTGAGGCAAGGCAAGTTATATAAATTGAGCCAGAAAAAAGGAAATAACGATCGCTCGAGAAGTTTTTTTTTCCTCTTTCATGAGTGTTTCCTCATCATTCGCTACCAGCATCAGTCCTTCAGGAAGTGAAAGGAGTGGCTGGGAAGAAAATTTGGAAAAGTAATTTAGAGAGAAGGAGTTCGTGAAACTGGCTGGGAGGATGTTTCAGGTGGACATGGGCTGGGCGGAGGGTGGAGGAGGCGAGGAAGGTGCCGGAAGACGCTTCTCTCGCTTAAAAGAAATTCAGTCTGAGGTGACCTTATCTTTGAATACACATTATCAATAACCCCCTCCGCCCCTTCTTTTCTTTTTTTTTAAACAGGAACCACTGGAATTAAAATTTCCAAACATCTCTTATCCTGCCCTGGGGCTCTTAAAGGTAACATCATTGTTTCCAGCAGACCAGCCACTGTTACCACTGGGGAATCTGAAGGATTTGTCAGTCCAGGAATTGGAAAGTGTTCCTTTTAGAATTCTTCTTCTCCTTTGAAAAGTAAAAATACTTTCAGATTTTAAAATGGGTCACATTCTATTACAGTGAGAACATCTGCAAGTGTTTTTAACTTTAAATCAACCTAACATTGTATTTGAAATCTAAATTTACACAAAATAGAAATTTCAGAGGGGTGGTGTTTGTTTTACAAAGGGATCCTTGTCTTCAAAAAATGTTTTTAGCCATAGGATCCTTTTAAATGCCAGCTCCCTAGTATATTTGAAGTAGGTTTTGATTTTAAAACTAGGTTTATATATACATTTTCAGAAATATATGGCTCTTATGTAAAATGTGACACTCAGTGTCCTACCTGTTTCCAAAAGTCTTTAATACATTTACTGATGCATTTATAATATAATTTTTAAAATGAACAGTTCCTTGGGTGTGTAGTTGTGAGATTTAATCTCTCCAGGCAGGAGCCCTGTGGCCTACTTCCTGGCAAAGCGCATAGTTCAGACTGATGTCATGTGAAGGGGTGTGTATGGTACCTCTCCTCCCACGTGCACACGTCTATGCTTGTAATGCAGAGACTTTTCTGGAAGAATATACCAAAAAAAAAAAGGATAGCTGATTTTAGAAGGGAAAATGGAAGAACTAGAGTGGAGGAGAGACTTTTCTGTATCCAGTATAGATTTTATTTTTACCATGTGTAAGTGTTATTTTGTAAATAAAACTAGTTTTCACAAAGTATGTGCAAGGGACCAAACAAACGGCTTAGGTGGGTTATTCCGGTTGGACGCCAGAGATGAACTCAGAAATTGTATCCTGCTCCCTCAGGGCAGAGCCCAGCTGCCTCCAGAACAGAACAAGGCGGAGAAAATGATTTTTTGTTACTGTTTCTAGAAACTATTTATGAATAATGTATGTGGTTATCCACTTAGGAATGATTGTGGGAGGAACTCAAATCATGATTCGTGTGTTTTTCCTACCCTTTTCCCCCTTCTGTTCCCAACTAAAGAGTTTAATCTTTCAAAGAAAAAAAAAATGACATGAATGAGTTAGTACAATTTTAAAGAATTAAGAGGAGGGAATTCTCTGCTCTTTCAGGGCTGTCTCCACATGAATCCTGCCGAGAGGCTCACGTGCCAACAGCTTTTACAGCACCCGTATTTTGACGGCATCACAGAAATGGGAGATTTGGCAAAACAGCAAGACAAACCAACAAGGAAGACCCTCCGACAGAGCCAGAAGCACCTGCCGGGGGTGAATACGGGGCTCTGCTTACAGAGGCTCTCACACCTGCCCCTGGTGCCGGGCTTGCGTCTGTACCTGGGGGTGAATACGGGGCTCTG